AGACAATGACACAAAATAATCCAATCAAGTATCAAAGAGCCACAACAAGCAATGAGGTTTTTATTACCAGTAACTGAGCAAGGGGAAAGTGAGAGTGTTGGCTAATGCTACATAGGATGATATTCCAAGTGGAGAAGGATGTTTGTTAATACCCCAGAGCCTAGCATGTTGCCTTGAACAATTACAAGGTCTTTAAACACTCGATCAAGTGGCTTGATCTACAATCAATAAGCTTTTCATTTTTTCCAAGGCTAAAGTAAGCAAATTTCAATCAACCCATCTAATGTATGAGTTATTAGTAATGGCACACAAGAGCGTATGCTGTGTTTCAACTATGGACTTAGAATAACTAGGCATAGGTGGAAAGGCACTGGGATAAGAGGGGTCAAATATCCCCATGAGATGCACATGGCAGAAGGAATAGCAACAGTATCTAATAGCACTTGTGTTGGAGGGCTCCCTCTCTAGAGTCAGTTCAGGCAGAGGCTTAAGGCAAACACAAAGGGGATGCTAGAAAGAGCAGCTTCAGTCACCACAGCTTTCATGTCATTTACATTCTTTGGCCATTCTTGTCCCTCCCAACCATGCAATTACCAAAGACCTAGGAATCTTTTAATGACATTAATTTCTTCATAAAAAAAAATCTTTCAAATATGATAATGCCAACAGAAAACACTGTCATTTATTTGAGCATCTTGTATTTCCCAAAATTAAAGACTGATTTATTTTATTTCTTATATTCTGACAACAACTCTAAGAGAAAGGCATTCTGCTCTTATTCTGATAGAGAATCTGAGGAGCACAAATCTGAAGCAAATTGCCCAGAGTCCCTCAGTTAATCGGTAGTAAAACCAGAATCGGAACCAGCTCTGTTTGACCCCAGAGACAATCCTGTTACCAGAATACTACACCATTTCCCCGTGCTACTACGTTATTAAATCAGTTTTTTAAAAAACAGAGAACAAGGCACCGCTGCTGTTTTAAGACCTACCTGGAAACAGAATGCAGTCAGGAGATAGGAAAGGATGGAGGATATAAGTCATTTTCTCTTCTTTTTCATGGCCAAGATACTGTCTCTCCTGTGATCTGGGAGCCTGTGACCCACATGGCAACATAGGTGAACTGGGTGTCAGACGTTCACTAGAGACTCAATGTTACAGTGAAGTAAACTTTAGGCCCTGGAATCCTTGATATAGCAATGGAAGGGCCAAAAAGAAAAAAAAAAAAAAAAGACTACCACTTAAGAAGATGATTCAAGAGAAGGATTGGCCACTTCAAAGGCAAGGAAAAGGATCCAGAGAGCTCCGTAAGTCTTTGCAGTGGGGAGAACTAGAGAATCTTGCAGTAGGGATAATTAGAGAATCATGAGTCCTTTAACAGGTCTAGGGATTTCACAAAGAATCCTCTACTGTGGCTGGAGAGACAGAATGTGTGCATGACCTCCAAGCAATAAACAAGTCAATAAAATGAAGTGAAAATGCAGACAATCAAGTGGAAAGACTATTTTAGGAAAATGAATCTGTTAGTGGGGAGCAGGATAAACTAAGGAAGGAAGAGACTGGAGTTAATGCCTCAGGGACTCAGCAAACTTTTACTAAAGTAACAATTCATTAAAAGGTTATTATAATGCAATAAATATTGAAAATGATAATTATTTGGAGTGATCATTGAAATTTTTGAAGTGGATAGGATAGTATGAAAGAAGTCTTACTATGATGTGTGTAGCCTACATTTCTTAGAGAAGAGTGGTATCACCAATAAAAAATGAAAAAATACAGATATCCAGTTAGGAGAAAAATTAGCAACAATAATAGCTACCAATTATTGAAAAATCACTGTGTGCCAATCACTGTGTCAATCACTCTATAGACCTATCTACTTTAGCACAAAAATTCTGTGCTCCAGGCAATATTTTTTATTCTCTTTTTAATCAAGGAAACTAGTCTTAGGTTAAGTTGTTTGCCTAAAGTCACATAGGTTGTAGTTATGGCGCCAGAATAATGAACTCAGTTTTAAATATGTTGAGATGGAACATCTCAAAAGAAAGATGGAAGACTATTTGCAAAATAAGGTAAAAATAAACAACTGGAGGTGTGGTGACCTTGGAGCCTGGAAGCCACACAGCTAACAAAGATATGACCAAGGGTGCTCCCTAACAGGACACCAACGTGAGGTTACCAGACTAAGGAGGAAAAATAGGAAGCATTTTATATGGACCCAAACCATAAAAAGTGGTTTATCTAAGAAGGTGAACGTCTAAAATGATGGAGGAGAAGGCCATGTGATAGGATTTTGTGAATTCCCACAAATCAAAGAATAGTTGACTTTTAGGATGACTATCATATAACACACACACACAGAGAGAGAGAGAGAGAGAGAGAGAGAGAGAGAGAGAGAGAGAGAGAGAGAGAGAGGATAACAAGTGTTGGAGAGTGTAGAAAAACTGAAACCCTGGTACAGCCACTGTAAACAGTATGGCACTTCTTCAAAAGATTAAACAGAATTGCCATATGATACAGCAAACTCATTTCTGGATCTATACCCCAAACAGTTGAAAGCAGAGGCTCTAAGAGACATTTTTACACCAATGCTCATAGCAGCATTATTCCTAAAAGCCAAAATGTGGAAACAAGCCAAATGTTCATCAACAGATGAATGGATAAACAAAATATAGTAGATACATACAATGGAGTATTATTCAACATTGAAAAGGAATGAAATTCTGACACATGCTATAACATAAATGAACCTTAAAGACATTATGTTAAACAAGCCAGACATAAAAGGACAAATATTCCAGAAACAACAGATGCTGGCAAGGTTGTGAAGAAATAAAAACTCTTCTATACTACTGATGGGAATGTAAATTCATTCAATCATTGTGGAAGACAGTGTGGCAATTCCTGAAAAATCTAGAACCAGAAATACCATTTAACCCAGCAATCCTATTACTAAGTATATACCCAAATATAAATCATTGTATTATAAATATGCACAGGTATATTTATTGCAGCACTACTCACAATAGAAAAGACATGGAATCAACCCAAATGCTCATCAATGATGGAATGGATAAAGAAAATGTGGTACATATACAATATGGAAGACTATGCAGCCATAAATAGGAACAAGAGCATGTCCTTTACAGGGACATGGATGGAGCTGGAAGCCATTATCCTCAGCAAACATGAGAACAGAAAAACATACACTGCATGTCCTTACTTGTAAGTGGGAACTGAATGATGAGAACCCGTGGACACAGGGAGGGGAACAACCAACACACACAGGGCCCTGTTGGAAGTAGGGGTGGTTGGGGAGAGAGAGCATTAGGAAAAATAGTTAATACACGCTGGGCTTAATGCCTAGGTGATGGGTTGATAGGTGCAGCAAACCACCATGGAACACATTTACCTATGTAACTAACCTACACATCCTGCACATGTACCTTGGAACTTAAAAGGTTAAAAAGGGCAAATATTGCATGAGTCTACTTCATGAGGTACCTAGAGTAATCACATCCATAGAGACAGAAAATAGCATGATGGTTGCCAGGGCCTAGAGGAAGGGGGCAACAGGGACCTTATCATTTACTGAGTACAGTGTTTTAATTTGGGATGATGCAAATGTTCTGGAGATGGATAGTGGTGATGGTTAATGAATTGTATGCTTAAAATGGTGAAAATGATAAATTTCATGTTATGTATATCTTAACACAATTAAAAAGAAAGAGTACCAGGCCAAGCATAAAATTGGAAGTTGAATACAGGTTCTCTGAGTATTATGAGGAATTGGAAGAGACCCAGCTATTTTCACTCAAAGGATAATTCAACTAATCATTTTTAAAAGACCAGCATTAGGAAAATAAGTTACAGGTATGTAGTTGCAGATTGTTATGCAATGACCCACTTTTTTATTTTTGGGACTAACAAAACGATTTTAAGAATTTAGTAGCAGATTCATTAATTTATCCCCCCAAGAAATGTCACCTTCCGTATGACACATAACCAGCTCTGGTCCCAGCATGACTTTAGAGTAAAGGATACTGTATAATTGGGATTAAGAAATTGAATAGCAAGACTAAATATACGGACAACTTCACAGTGAGAGTCCTTTGACCCGGGCACTGGGTACCTCAGGGAGTATGCCATGTTTCCTGGAGGCACTTAAGCACAGGGTAGCATCACATCTTCTAGGTTAAAATAAACACAAGAAACAGACATCATGACTCCACAGCCTCCTTCCCACCTGGTGAGCTTGTGAGTCATCCCGCTAGTTGTTTTCCACTAAGTGTCTCATACAGACTTGAAGATTCCTCAAGACTTAGCCTGATCACACAGACAACACAACTCCAAGGCTATGCAAACACTTAGATGGGGGCTGGGGGAGAGGAGTTGGCATTTCCTGGAGACAATTCTTACAAACATTTCTCATCTCAGAGATGTTACAACTCTTGACGGCTTCAATCTTTCATTTTAGAGATTTCTATTGATTGGGTAAAAATCACACATTTTGTCCACAGCACAGACATATCAAAGCAAACTTTTTCCCTAGTGCCATTTCCCCGGGGATGGGAATGATTGATTTTTATTGGTTCAGCTTCTAGGACACTCACGTCTCAATCCAGCCAATTTTCTTTGGAAAGAGCACACTCCAGTCCACTTAATTGCATTTTCTTTTTCTTTCTTTTCTTTTTTTTTTTATATATATATTTTTCAAAGCAGAGTCTTGTTCTTCTTGCCTAGGCTGGAGTGCAATGGCATGATCTTGGCTCACTGCAACCTCTGCTTCCTGGATTCAAGCCATTCTCCTGCCTCAACCTCCTGAGTAGCTGGGATTACAGGCACTCGCCACCATGAACTTTTGCATTTTTAGTAGAGATGGGGTTTCACCATGTTGCCCAAACTGGTCTCAAACTCCTGACCTCAGAGGATCCACCTGCCTCGGCCTCCCAAATTGCTGGGATTACAGGCATGAGCCACCGCGCCCAACCATACACTTACCTGTATTTTCTAACCAAAGAGTTGAGAGAGATTTGCCACCTTTACAGTTAAGAGGAGATGAATCTCCAGCCTCCTTTTCCAATTGTGTAAGCTTCTCTCTGAAGTTGGCAATTGAAGGAAGGGAGCCAGGGCCTAGGGGGAAAAATCAAGTGAAAGCATAAACCAGAAAATACATAGGCTATGATGCAGGTCAAATACATAAATAAAACACTATCAGTGCATAAAGAAATTGAAAGGTCTGAGGAGAAGAAATTTGCTCCAATTGGGCAATGGTTACTCTAAGCAGAGGCTTTCACTTGGGTCTAAACAAGGAAGTCTCATATATTTGCTACAAAAGTTGTCCTCTTAATTCTCTGATTATATTTTCCTTTTTGTTTTCTGTGTCTCAGGGTTCACTCTGCTCCTGTGAACTTCTCATTATCCCACTCCTGCTTATTTTAACCTTCATTTAATCTCACACCAAATTTCCCGTGTCTTATCTGACCTTCAAATAGCCTGTTCTGAAGTATGGACAGTTTCTAGAGAAAATTAGGAATTCTGTTTTATTTGGGGACTCTGGAGACATTAATGCTCATGGTAAAGGGAAGCCCTCCTCCACTCTCTGGGCAAACAGGAAAGGTGCCCAATGCTGTCTCTTCTGCACATTGCTACTTTCTAGCTCCCAAATCTTGTGCTTGTTCCTGCTAAATATACTACCAGCCCTGAAAATTTCTTAACACTGAACCTCTCCAAACCTATACATCCTATACTCTTTAACATATTTCTATTTGGTGCTTGGATTTATTTTTATCTTCTTTATCTAGACTATTATATTCCTAAAAAGACTGAAATATTCCTAAAATAGACCCAGTAATACTATTTGTTTTGTTTCTTTCACAGTGCCTAGCAAACACAGTGTTGAGTAAGACTTTGGAAATGTGGCCGGGCGCAGTGGCTCAAGCCCATAATCCCAGCACTTTGGGAGTCCGAGGCGGGTGGATCACGAGGTCAAGAGATCGAGACCATCCTGGTCAACATGGTGAAACCCCCATCTCTACTAAAAGTACAATAAACTAGCTAGGCATGGTGGCATGTGCCTGTAATCCCAGCTACTCAGGAGGTGGAGGTTGCAGTGAGCTGAGATCACGCCATTGCACTCCAGCATGGGTAACAAGATCGAGAAACTCCATCTTAAAAAAAAGACTTTGGAAATGTAAGATAGCATTATACAATATTACTTATTTTTTTTTAAAGGCAGGCAGAAATTGTACAACCAAAGTACTACTAAAACCTCAAAGACATTATTGTAGAGTTGCACCATTTTTTTTTCCAGCAATGCTGCCATTTTACTTTTTTTGTAACCTTCGCAGTCAGTTTGCAAGGCCCAAAACGGAAGTCGTCTTACTTTGCAGTCAATTTCAATTTTGACACATTGCTGTGACTTTCTTTTTTACTGATATTTTTATATTACCTAGCTTGTCTTCTACTTGACTTACCCCACTAGGTCGAAATTATTATTCTGGGGACTTAAAAAATTACTACTGGTGATTCCCTCAAAGGAAAAAAAAAGTGTGTGTGTGTGTTTGTGTGTGTGTACACACACATATACATATAGTGTAGTTTGTTTGATTAATGCAGAGTGTTATAATGATCATCTTCTGTTAAATCCAAAATTATGATGGGGCTGAGATGTTACTTGACTTGCAAGCTAACCTGTCTGTGTAGGTATGTATGTACACACACACACACACACACACACCCCACATACACACTGGCAGAAACATACATATATATGTACATATACATATTTTTATATATATATATATAAATAAACACACACACACATATACACACACCCAAGTGAAAATAACGTAACATTGAGTATACAAGCCATCCTCAAATAGGAACAGAAAAGATTTTCAACACGAATGATATCTTAGAGTCTGTGTAAAGCTACCTAAGGTGGCTTCTTTGCAGAAGATATTGGGAAATAGCTCTACATGAAGATGTTCACCTTTCTGCATGATCTGGGCTTTCTTGCAAACCCAGGTTAAAGGGAGGATTGAATGGTAAACAGTGGTAAACACTCAATTAGAGACAGTGCATACCTCCAGAGAGATTTAAAAAACTTATTTCTTCCAAAGCTATTTTGCTATTTCTTATATTCTAAGAGTGATGAGTGGAGTTCCCTCTCCCCTCCCTAGAGAGCATCTCTCCCCCTCTCTCCCTATCGTTCCCTCTCTGTCTCTCTGGAATTAGATGAGTGCACATGTGCCAGATATACTGATGAAATTTCAAGTCTCATGAATTTGAGGTACCTCCCTCATGGGGTGACCCTACTGCAGGCACAAGCAGTATCAGGCCCTTGTCACACCAGCCCATGGTCAACTGGGGCATAGGGAACCAGCACTAAAATGCTCTAGGAGTAAATTGTCTGTTCTCTAATGCAGAGGGCTGGTGTTTCTGTTAGTTGTATGTGTGCATGTACACACGTGCCTACACAGGCAGGTTAGCTTTCAAGTCAAGTAACATCTCAGCCTCATCATAATTTTGGACTTAACAGAAGATAATCATTGTAACACCCTTTACATTAATCAAACAAACTACACGAATAAGTGCTTGATGATGGCATAATTAGTTGAGAGTCGTCACTGGGGAATGTAAAAAAACTCTGCCCTTAGCACTATATTCTTGCCTTCAAGTGGTTGCCTAATATGTGCAAGGCAGGGGCCACAACTATAATTCAACACATTCTCAGCCCCTAAGGAGTTTATAATCTACAGAAAATGATAAGGGATTTACCTAAATACCTTTACAACACAATAGAAACTGCTTTTGTGAGAGAAACATGTTTGGGATGAGGAGAGATAAAGTGGTCATTGTTAATTTTAGCTGCATATGCTGTGAATAGGGAGAGGCTAACTGAAGAGGTCTTGTGAAGAAAAATGTTCAACATTTGTATTTATCATTTAGGTAAAACCACAGAATCCATGCTTCTTGAATGTGTGGATCACACAAGGCAGGAAGTGATGGCCAGTAAACCGATTGGCAAAATCAAGATTCTCTGCCAACTAGAACGTCAAGAAAAGCTAACAAATGAAACTTTACAGTTACAAGTGTGGCATAAGTGGGCCAGTTACAGTACTTACAGGGGAAAAATAACAAGGTTTGTAGCAGACTGCATAAGCTCAGGATCAGTACAATTGAACCCAAACTTCCATTTCTGTGCCATATCAAATCCCTTCATATATCGTTCACCTTTGAAGCTCATCTAAATCCTTTGATGGCTGTATCATGTAAGTTTTACTGCTCCCATTGAACAGAAAGGGGACTTGGTCTCAAAGCTTGAGTGACTGACCAAGGTGTGTAGCCATCAAACAGGTGAGAACCATCTTTGTTCACACTGATTGAAGAAGAACATCACAATCTAAGAAGACCCAGCAATACCAGGATTCTGTATTCAGCTTCAGAAATACCACTGTATGAAGGATATTGCCAATGTGGGTACAATCCATTCATGAGAACAAAGGGTCTGGACATTGTGGCATGTAAGGAATGTTTGAAGGAACTTGGCCAGGAACAGAAAAGACCTTTGAAGAACTGTTGTCTGCAAATATGTGAGGAGCTGTCACGAGGAAAGGAATTACACTTGTTCTGGGAAGCTTCATGGAGCAGAACCAACACAACTATATGAAAGCTACAGGGAAGAAGATTTCAGATAAGTTTAAGGAGAGCATTCTGTCACCTAGAACTAGGAGAAATGAGCTTGCAACAGTGAATCCACCATTAAAGGACCCATGATAGCACAGGTTGTAGCCTGCCACAAATTGCAGTTGTTATAGGAGGAATGCCTGCCTAAAAATAAAAAGCCCGTGGCTCCTAAGATCTCTTCTAACTCTAAGATTCTACAACAAATAACAACCCACAACGTGAGTAAACTCATGTCCCAGTGATAGATCTTGAAAATATGCTTAAACATTAATGAGCACGCTGACACTGTGAGTTAGCACTGTATTCATCTGGGTTATAAAGACATCATAAATAATCACAAGGCCATACATGTATCATGACTTTTGCTTTTTGCTGGCCATCACATCCCTCCATGAATGAGAACAAGGCCTAAAATATTTTCTCAAAGAAGATAAGTGATCATTTTAAGGTGATATGGCAAGCTAGTGGTAAAATCAGAGCAAAAACTAAACAAACAAACAGTATCCTCTTACACTCATTGAGATCTCAGGAGTAATATTAACAATAGGACGACTCTTACACAAATAGCACCTACGATGTGACGTGCATGGTTTTAAGCACTTAACATCCACGGTCTCACTTAATTAGCACAAAAACCCTGTAAAGTGGGAAGTATTTATATCCCCATTTTGTAGGTTAGGAAACTTAAGCTACAGAGAGCTTAGGTAACTTGCCTAGGATAGCAGATGTTATGTCGATAGGTCTTAATTTCACACCTGAGCAATATGACTCCAAAAACTGTACTCTCAACCGCTATGCCATGCTGTCTCTCTAGACCCATCTTATTTGTGAGAGAGAAAGGGACTGTTCTCATATTTGCACATCACAGCTTCTGTAGAATACGTTGCCAAAGGAACCAAATAATCGAGTTTGACAAGCTAGAGAGAGAGAACAGGCTCCACCTTAGGAGATGTCTCCCTGGCTGGCTCAGCTCGGCCCCTACAAACAAGCGGCATGGCTGCAGGAGCTTCATCTCACCAATGGGACCGCAGAAACTACCCAAGCAAGTCGCAAACTAGAGACTCAGCGGTTCTGATCACCAGACTGGGCTGAAACGTGACCCAGATTCAGCCAAACCCGATGGAGGAGGGGCACTCTGTAGAATCCACATTTGACCCTAAACTGGGGTGCGAGGAAGACAAAACCGAAATAACGGATACCACAGATAACTGTTTATTCCTTTCCAGCATAACAAGCAAATAAACTGCCACTGGTGCCTCAAAACTTCACACAGAGTAATATTCCTTTAATGGAATGCTTTTAGAGAAGAGTCATAAAAATAAATTGAAAAGTACTTTCTGCTGGCTACAGCTGGCATAAGCAGCATCTGAGCAAACAGGATAACACAAGGCTTAACATAGCATCGCCATTTTTATTACTCACCCGCGACAGGTCTTATAATAGTATAAATTCACTTAGAAAATGGACTTTTTCTCCCATCGTCGCCCCTCCTTCTCTCCACCACCACCAACCCAACAGTCTTCTGTGTTAATTCTGAACAGCATAATTACAGGTCTTTTTATGATTTAGGTTTGAGACCAATTAGCTGATACTGCAAGCCTTTCAAATGCCAACTTCCCTCTCGGCACTCCCTGTGCTGCTGGGGATTTATCTGCGTGCTTGTAAAAGGCAAATGTTTTGTGAGGAGCAGAGGAAATTGGGTTTGTTTGTGGGTTGGTTCCCTCCTCCCCTCTCCCTTTCTCATCTGCCTGTGCATCTTCGGTGCACCTGGTCTCTAAAATTGTCCTGGTGTGAAAGACACACTGAATATTTATGCTGGGCCCCCAGACAGCCTCTGATAACAGGTAGTTGTTGCACAGAGCTGCCAGTTGCCCCCACCCTGTGATTGCCTTCCCTACAGGTGGAGCTGCAGACCCATACTGGGCCATGAGCTGTCACCATTTTAGAACCTGTTAGCTGCCGGCTGGAGCAGCAAAAGTTCAGAAACTCAGAAAGGACATGCTCAACAGCCCTACCTCCTCCACTCCATCTGCTCCTAACACCCTGCACCCCACGCTAATCATATACAAGTCGACAACATAAGTCAGATATTCAGCAAAGATCTAAATAATCAACTAACAAGCATGAATCGTATAAAGCCCTCTGTACCATTGGGGGATTCAGGGGTGAATAAAGTAAGATTCCTGCCCTCAATGTGCTTTTAATTGGATGTAAGAAGATAACTTTCTTTGTCATGCATGAGGCCCCCATAATCAAACCATCCAGGCATCTACTGTGTAGCAAGAACTTTATAAATATTGTCTTTAATCCTTACACAACCCTTCAAGATACATATAATTATAGACATTCTCCCGATGAAGAAATTGAAGCTCACAGGATGAAGTAATGTGCCCAGTGTCACAGGATCCCCAAACTAGTAAATAATAAAAGCAGGAAACATGATTCTGACCTGACAGCAAAGCCTTTACCCCCACCCCATGTTCCCTCCCAGTAGGCAGAGATGAAGTCTAACAGGCATTCTGTTGGTGGTTGTCGGGGTGGTTGCTGGGAGAAGTTTAGGAACACTTGGGAAAGGAAAGGCAGACTAATTTGCACAGTGCCGAGGAATGAAAGAAGACCATAAAATACTCAACTATTGGGCCGGCAATGGATATACGGAGCCAATACCAGATGTATTACTCAAGTAACCATTCTCCAGTGCTCTGGGATATTATGCAGCCATTAAAATAACTGTGAGGACCATGTAGAGACGTGAAAAATGCTAATTGTACAATGTTAAATAACAATAAAATAACAAACTAAGACAGAATACAAAGTACTCTCTTACTTTGATAGCGTTTTCACATAAAACATTTAGTTAAAATTGTTAAAAGGAAAAAATAAGTCCATCCCCTGGGCATAGCATGACTATATTTACACTGTTCCAGATGGTTTTCTCTCCTCTTCTAACAGGCTTCCACAGAGGGAACTCTAATGCCCTCCCCCTGTTATTTTAGTGCCTTGCAACCCTATTTTTCTCAAGCCTAGCCTCATGTCCCCGCTGATGCAATTTCACCCCACAGTTGGCTTCTGTCTCTGTGAGCAAACTCCTGGTGTAACATTTTTAACATGCTTTGTGATCCAGGGATCGAGAAAGTAAGATTGTCATGCTTCCCACCTTCTTGCCTTCTGCATACCTGCTTTTAATACTTTTGATATGACTGAGGGGGTGGAAGGATGGAAGGTAATGACAGAGAAAAATACTAAGTGCCATAATTCACCAAACCTATTATTTTCCAATTTTATGCATCTCTTTCATGCTACTCCCAATAATTTCACATAATCTCTCAATATTATTCACATCTAGCAATTGTTAAAAGCTCCCATACCCTAGCATCTCCACCTGCCTCTACTGTTTGTCATGGTAATGTCACATACCTCTCCTTTCAGATGTAGCTGCTATTATCTCCTCACCTTCCCCCACCTAATCCCATCCTGGAATAATATGTCTCCTGATGAGGTTACAGAAACCACATCTGTTTTTCTCTTATGAGTAGATATCAAGAGGCCTTATTAAGACAGGACTTTGCCAGTCCTATATGATCCTCTGGTTCCAAGATGGTACCTAGCGCTGGCATATATGGTCACTGCTTAGCTGGGCAAAGGCCTGAAATGCCAGTGGACAAGATGAAAGCAGGGCCTTAACAGGTCATAAAAGTGACCATGGTTGGATCAGCAGAGCTTAAAGAAATAAAATGAACAAAAGAAGATGGGGTTGTCTAAGCAGAAACAGATGTCACGAACCAAGGTCAAGAACAAGCCCACTGGTTAGTCTCCAGATCTGTGGCTGCTGCACAGGAAAGGGAACAGTAGGACAGACATCTGAGCTTGGAGTGGGCTGTCATTTCAAGAGAAGAGAAAATCAGAGTCTTCTGCTGATGTCCATTTGGAAGGTCCACCATCTGTCCCCCCTTGCCTTGTCTTTTTGGGAGGCATGTGAGCCTGATATCTGACCTTCACATAGAAGGAGCTCTGATACTACCAGCCTCTAATTTCCCTTTCCAGTCAGGCCTCTGGACTTCCTCTGTCTCTACTCTCACCTTATGTCCAGTTTCACAACTCAGTTGGCCATTCCTCCACACTCAGAGCTGCTTATGCCTGAATGCACTCTCCCCTTTCCCTATCTGAAGTACTCCCAGTCATTCACAAGGTGCACTTTTTGACATACTGTCCCTAGTACCCCTGGGCAGTTTATAACTTCATCTTTTGGGCTCCCATAGCATTTTACAGAGGTCTCTGTCGGAGAATTTATCAATCGGTTACAATTGCTTGTCTGCATGTCTTTCTCTCCCACTAGGCATGAAGATGCTTAAAGATTGACTACATTTTTATTCATCCTCATGTTCCCCTGCCTGACACATTGATTGGCACATCATAGGTGCTCAGTGTGTTTTCCTTAAATGACTAAACCAAATATTACTTATTGTATGTTCACCTAGTTTCTTGATTCTCTTCTAAAATCATACAAATCAAGAGAAGCAATGTCCCAAGACAAACAGTGTGACACCTAATAGATGTATCTATTAACAGCCAGCCAATGCCGTCAGTCAAAAATAATAATAATAATTAGCATGCCCAGATGTGTTTCTGGATAGCCCTTTATTCCCAGTGCTATTTGTCTAGGAAAGGACTCTGTCTCCATCAGAGCTGGGGGCACATGCAAATCTATTTTCTGAGGCTAGCTCTGTGGAGTACAGAGCGAGATTGTGAAATTCAAAACACACCTGGGAAATTCAGACAAGATCTCAATAATAAGGACTGTAATCAAGGAAGAAACCTTTACTTAAGCAAATAATTTGCCTTGGGAGTAAAAGGCTGAGCACAATGTTCTTCACACACAGGGACTTTAGCTGGCATTTCATCTTCAGTCCAAATAGACCTTGCTGAACAAACCTCAAAAATAAAATATTTACACTAAACCTGCCACCAGTCGAAATGGTCTTCCAATCAGAGAAGCAAGCTGTGGGAGGCAAATGAAATGTCTGAGTTTAAGGAAGATGCCAAAAAAAAAGGGGGGGGGGGAAGAAAAGGACAAGTTTAAAATTAAAGAAAAGTGTTATCCAAGGGCAAAGCAATTTGACTTGAGTTCTCCCCAAGTAAGGGTAACGAGAATGGTAATGAGTCCTGTCTTATCTGTCTTATCTCTGCAGTTTTGGGGATGATTTGCAGACATCTGATTTTGTGATGCTACAGACATGGTACCCAACTTGGAAAAGCAGGGAAAAAAAAGTGGATGCAGAGTAATATACTTGCACTGGATAAACAATAGCCAGAAAATTGTATATCACGATGAGATATAATGTCAGGTTTAGGATCAGATAAATTGCAAATAACAATGAAGAAACAACTGAACCTTGAGGACGCTCAGCAGATAAACCAGATGAAGTGGATAAAGACTCACTGTGTGGAGAAGGCAGGGCAGCCCACGCAGAAAGGTGGGAGGCAAGTAGACAGAGGAAGCAGTGGAGTGGTGATGGAGTGTGAGCATCTAGATAAAAGGCTGCAGTCAGCTTCCCAAAAGTCAGGGAAAATAATAGCCGGAAATAATAAAGTAGAATGGTAGCAGTGTCAACTGTGATAAGCACATAATTTGTTACCCTGGACAGCCTGGAGCCCCTTTCCAGAGGCAGGCAGAAGTCCAAGTTCCTAGACTTATCAGCCTGTGCGATCAAGAAGGAAAGAACTAATGCAAAGGTTAGCAAGAATCACAGAGTGGGGATATCAGGACCATGGCAGAGGGGAGGCAGAACAAGATTGCAGCTCCAGACAGAGCAGCGTGCAGAAGCTTGCACTTTGAATTTCAGCTCCAGATTGACTGCAAGAACAAACCAGCAATCCTGAGAGGACCCACAGACTCTCTGAAGGAAGTGGACAGCTACTGCCAGACCCAGGAGACACCCTAAATATACTCTGGGAGACTGAAAGCATCAGGCGAGTTTTCAAGCCTATCTGGCTCTCTGAGTGGAAACAGACTCGGGGCTGTCGTGGGGGGCATGGTGGGAGGTGAGACCACCCCTTTGGTTTGTGTGGGAGCTGGGTGAGGCCTGTGACTGCTACTTCCTTGACTGCCACTTCACCGACAACCTGCATGACTCAGCAGAGGCAGCCATAAGCCTCCTAGGTACCCCACTCCAGTGACCTGGGAATCTTATCCTCATTCCCCATGGCAGCCACAGCAAGACCTGCCCAAAGAGAGTCTGAACTCAGAGACACCTAGCCCTGCCCCTACCTAGTCCTTCCCTACCCACCCTGGTAGTAGAAGACAAAGGGCATACACTCTTGGGAGTTCTAGGGCCCTGGCCATCTCCAGTCTCTCTCCACACTACTAAAGCTAATGCTTTTTGGAAAGTGACACCTCCTGTCAAGAGGCCAACCGGCACAAAAATAGAGCGTTAAACCACCAAAGCTAGGGACCCTCATGGAGTCCGTTGCACTGTCTGCCACTTCCACTGGAACAGACGCTGGTATCCAAGGCTGAGAGACCCATAGACGATTCACATCACAGGATTCTGTGCAGACAACCCCTGGTACCAGCCTGGAACCGGGTAGACTCTCTAGGTGGCTAGATCCAGAAGAGAGACAATAGTCACTGCAGTTCAGCTTACAGGAAG